TAGAATGTAGAAATGTAACAAATGTAGAAATGTACAAAATATTCTACGGCAATTCTGCGATTCTATTTCAATTACCGATGCAAGAACAGTTTAAATCGCAGTAGTATTCGTATCTTATATGTGAAATTATAACTTATAGCCATGATTCAAATCATCATGATAAGATATAATAAATAGCTAATCTAATGCAATTTTGTAAGTTTGCATTTTGTAAATTTATAAATATAATAAGAATTAACTGTGTATTCCTATAAAGTTGTCACTATCGATTCATAAAAAAAGGAATGAAATACTTTGAATCCTCTCTCTCTCTCTCTCTCTCTCTCTCTCTCTCTCTCTCTCTCTTAAATATCGAATTGAAGAAAGATACTAATAATAATACTAACATGTTTAATTCTTTCTGCGAAGTACAAATTCTAAGATAAGGAATATGTAGAGAATAGCTATTATGTCTACGACTAAATTGTTATTTAATCGATATGAATCATGTTACTTATCAACAGTAAGCCAAATTCAGTATTCATTTCAATTATAAAAATTTATCATGTTAATAACAATGAAGATATCTATGAAAGCATCGCTAAATATCGTTACGTTTCTTGCGTAAGTGATGACGAATCAGATGTTATATTAGAAAGATTGCATCAGTGCGACAGCAGTCAGCCGTCAACTTTTGACGTGTAACGTTGTGTTTTAGTATTGTCTTTGTTATTAACAGTACAATAAAAAAGTATTTAAGAAACAATCTGATTACGAAAAAGTGCAAAAGTTTATTTCAATTTTTACAAAACTATATTGTATATTAATTCAATATATATATATATATATATATATGTATATATACGTACATCAATATGATATATATAATTGCTTTGTCGGTGATAGCAGGTGCTTTAAGCCTTTATTATTTTCTCTTCAAAGATTTAAATTATTTTAAAAAATATGGCATACCACATAAGACACCTCTTCCGATAGTGGGAAATATGGGACCAATGTTTTTGCGTCTTCAGTCGTTATCCGATTTGGTCAAGACTACTTATAACTTACATCCTGAAGCCAAGTACGTTGGTATGTTTGATATGAACGTTCCAATTGTGGTGATTCGCGATCCCGAGCTTATTAAATCCATCGCATTAAAACACTTCGATAATTTTATGGATCATCGCAGTTTTATAAATGAAAATCAAGATCCACTATTCGGCAGAAACCTTTTTGCTCTTCGCGGAGAAAAGTGGCGACAGGTACGATCTTTATTGAGTCCAGCCTTTACATCGAGCAAAATGAAAAACATGTTTAAGCTAATGTCGGATTGTGGTGTCAATTTCGGTAATTATTTGGCGCAATTGCCACCGGAGCAGAGGATACTGGAAATGAAAGACGTCTTTACGAGATATACTAACGACGTGATTGCTACTTGCGCTTTTGGTGTCAGTGTTGATTCTACGAAAAACCCGAAAAATGAATTCTATATATATGGTAAAGAAGCGACAGTTTTTAACACTACTGCTTTCATAAAGTTTTACATATTTAGAAGCTTGCCTTGGTTGGCACGCTTAATTAACTTGAAGATCATTCGTCAAAAAATAACAGATTTTTTCCGAGACCTTATAGAAACTACTATAAAAGCCAGGGATGAAAATGGTATCGTTCGTCCTGACATGTTGCAATTGATGATGGAAACCCGAGGTAAAGAGGGCAAAGCAGAATTAAGTTCCGATGATATGGTAGCACAGGCATTTGTTTTTTTCTTTGCTGGCTTCGATAGTACTTCAACTTTAATGAGTTTTGCCGCTCATGAACTCGCAATAAACCAAGATATACAAGACAAACTTCGAAAGGAAATCGATCAAGTTTTGGAAGAAACGAATGGACAAGTACCTTACGAAGCGATTAATGGCATGGAATATTTAGATGCTGTAATCAACGAAGCTCTCAGGATGTATCCGATTGCAGTAGCAATGGATAGAATATGCGCAAAAGATTTTGAGTTGCCGCCAGCATTACCAGGATTGAAACCATTTGTTGTAAAGAAAGGACAAGGTATATGGATACCGGCTTATGGACTTCAACATGATCCTAATTACTTTAAGGAGCCGGAAAAGTTTGATCCCGAACGGTTTCTTGGTGAGCAGAAGAAGGACAATCTCAACTGCGGAGCTTATCTTCCTTTTGGTCTTGGTCCCAGGATGTGCATAGGTAACAGATTTGCATTATTGGAGACAAAGGTTATACTTTTTCAACTACTGGCCCGTTGCGATTTAAAAACCTGCGAGAAGACACCAATTCCAATCAAAATCGCTAAGGACAGCTTCAATATGAAACCTGAAGGCGGTTTCTGGCTGAAGGTGTTATCAAGAAAAGATATATACGCATCACACTCTTGCAACTAATCTCGTAAATGGAACACGCTAAATGTAAGAAAATTTTAATAAATTTTTATGATTTGAAAAATTTTAAATAAAAGAGAGACATTTTTCGATATAGAAAAATAACTCTTGTTACTTTTTATAATAAATTTATAATTAATAAATAATAATAGTGTCTAGATGATGCTGATCTAAAGAAAAATAATTTTTGATTTGTAAAATTGTTTAAGTTTTTAAAAACATATTTATAAAACATCATAATTAAAAAATTTAATATTCAAATATATTTATGATATGAGAGATACATGAAAGTAGTAGATACCTAGTGGTTTTTAAATAAAATGCATGTATAAAAATAACTATCCAAAATATAAATTATATTATAACATATAAAAATGTTTCTTAAATTTCAGATAAAATGAAAACAATGAAAACTCAAATGAACATGGTACAGAATGTTTCTTTTTGTACGGAAGAAGACGTTGCTGCAAGTTCAAGAAATAACAATCTTCGATATATTAAACGTATTAATTATATTATGTAAGTTTCTTAGAAAATGACAAAAGAAAACAGCATGAAAAAGATTAATGGATTGAATATTATTTCTTATTTTGCGATATTATTATATCGATAAATTTATAATGATTTTTTTGTAAATAACTATTATAACTAATTATTTTTATAATAACAGTTTGTATATTTTCATTATGTTTCTTTAAATTTGTAAAAAATGTTTTCATAATTTTCTATTTATATATAAATATATTATGTAGACAAGAATGTTATAAAAAATAATTTAGGCAAGCGATTACATAACTAATGAAAAATCTAGTTATACATAATTAATACATTATATAATAGCATAATATAATAGCACAACAATCTAGTTTTATTATATATATATA